AGAGAGGGAGCGTAGCAAAAGGAGAGCTGGAGAGTCAGGGGCAGGAGACAGAATTTGGCATGAGTAGGGGAGCTTGCTAAAATATTTTGTCATAGGGGTGATGTAAAGCCTCAAAGATTTTTCAACCAGGAAGAGATAGGTTTAGATTTGCATTTTGAGACGATTTCTCTGGTTGCCATGCTAAGAATGGCTTAAAAGGTAGCAAGGCTGGAGGCAGAGAAGCTTCTTGGAAGCTGTTTGGTCCTAGGAGGGGGGTAAGATGGCTGGAGAAATGGCAACTGTCAGGATATTTGCAGCTAGAATGTATAGACATTGGTGATCACTTGGTTGTCTGATGGATGACCCTTCTGTTTCTAGCTAGGCAGCTGCATAGAGTAGGGGTCAGCAACCAACAGCCCACAAGCCAAATCCACTCTGTCCTGTTTTTGTAAATACAGTTTTATGGGAACACGGCCATGCTCATTCTTTTACATATTGTCTACAGCTGCTTTTGTGATACAGTGTCAGATCTGAGTAGCTGCAGCAGAGAACACATGGCCCGCAAAGCCTAAAATATTTACTATCTGGCCCTTTAAGAAAATGTTTGCCAACTGTGATAAATGATCATCACCTACATTTATTGAGAGATTAAGATTTACCAGGCAAGATTCTAAGCAATTCACATGTTACAATAATCTATCCCAATTGGCAAACATGAAGTATTGCTACTGTCCCATTTTACAGATGAGAAAACCAAGGCACATATATGACCTTCTCATTCACACCCATAGCTTCAGTTACCACCCATGTGCCAGTGACTCATCAAACGTTTACTTCTAATCCAGACCTCTCATTTCAGCTTCAGATAGGCATATGCCTAACAGCCAATCTCAGAGGTACCTCAGAACTCAATAGGTCCCAAACCAGACTTCTGCTTGTCCCCTCAAACCACATCATGCTCCAGGGTTCCATTTTTCTTGGTGAATATCGCCAACCAGAGAAGCAAGCCAGAATCCAAGGAGCCTTCCTTGGCACCTCTCTCTCCCTTGTTCCTTCTCATATCCATTCTATCTAAAGATTGCTGAAATCTGGTTGCTTCTCTCCATCTGTATCACCCACCACCAGCCAAGTCCAACTATTAATGGGATCATCTCATACGTGGGCTCTGTAATAGCTTCCCCATGAGTCCATTCCTCTCCACCCAGGTCCTTCTCCAATCTCCAGACTGCAGCCGGAGTGCACATCCAGCCTGTCACCCTCCACCTCCATTCCCTACCCAATCCTTTCAAAGGTTTTTCTTGTTCTTGGGATTCCATGGGCCTTTTCGTCGTGTTTTTACATTGTTTCATTGTTTTTGAATTATTTTACAGATAACTGATAGAAATGCAAAATAATTTTTTGCAAATAAATTCTGAAGATCAGGGTTCAATTCTTTCCCTTACTGTGGAAGAAGCCAGTTTTATGTCCATTTGCAAATTCAGTTCACTATTCCTAACCCAGACAAGGGTCTGTTCTTTGAACCAGTTTAACATTTGCCTCATAACTTCATTAAATGAGTTAAAGAAACTCTATAATACAAGTTTATTTTATATCTATATGACAGTCATGCTGCCTGGGGGGAACTTATCCTTTAACTCTCTCTATAAGACACTACATGCTTGGCCAGTTGCCCGTGTCACCCTGGAGTGAGCTGGCTCTCTTTTAGTCCCTTGTAAGCACCACATTCCTTCCCTTAGAGATATCCTCTTGGCCTGGAACTCACTTTCATTCCAGATGAAAGTTCTTCATCCCTTCTTCCTTGTTATCCTCCAGATCTCTGCTCAAGGATCCCTTGCTGGAAAGCCCTTCCAGGCGTTTCTGAGTCAGTTGCATTCCTAGAGGCTCTTAAAGCACAGGTAGCACTAGTTATATTTGCAATTTTACATTTGTAGGATTAGTTAACACTCTTTTCTATCTGGCTGGAGGCAATGCATGATAATAGGATGGAGGTATGCTCCCATTGCATCCTCAGCACCTAGCCTAGTGCTTTCACAAATGTCACATACCCAATAATATATAATAAATATTTTAGATAGATTTTTGACTATAAATATTTACTGCTCAGGAGAGAGGTGAACTTAAAAATATATACATTTGGGAGTCATCAGCATATAGGGGCAGCCATGAAAATGCACAGGAAGCGAAATCATTGGGTTGAGCAGAATGTAGGATAATAAGAACCTTGTTTAGGTGGAATAACTGGACAGAAGTCAAATTATAGTCACTGGAAGGGGGAGGAAATAGAAGCAGTTAATACAGATGGACTTTCACACAGTTTGGCTCTGAAAGGGAGAAAAGGTGTAGCTGACACTGGTAATTCTTTAATAACACCATTCTTGTATTATATATGCTTTCTTGACTGAAAAGGGAGGATTTATGGGTAACATTTAAAATAGCAAGAAAATTGGAGTTGTGTAGTGGCTACCTTTAAGACAATAACAAGCTTTCAACGACTGCCTGGTGTAGACATTTAAAGCAGCCTTTCCAATGCAAATAAATTGTTTATAATTCTTCAACTAAGGATTTCTTGTTCTTAAGCTTTGGGCACTGGTCTCAAACTGGCAGCCCTAGAGTTTACTTAGTCTGTACTTTTTTTTTTTTTTTTTCAGTTTTAAAATCTGATTTTTAATAAAAAAAATCGGGGTTTCCAGCGACACTCGCCACTCTTTGATGGCACTTGATCTGTCTGGGCTGTATGTCTTTGGAGATTAGGACTCCGCCCCAGTATAAGAGGCTTTTCTGTGCCTTGTATGAAGGTGAAGGAGGAAGGCAGAAGTGAATGTTGCTCTCTGAGTTGATAAGATTAGAGCTATATTGTCTTTAGGGCTGTATGAAATCAATTGTAAACCAGGCCAGATTTAACCACTCTTACCCAGAATAAGCTGCCCTCCTCCCTTTCCAAGATCCACTCTGCCCAAGTCACCACTTCCTATTAATTTAAAAGCTGAGAAGGCTCTTATTTAGGCTGACATTGCCCCGGGGAGAACACACCAGAGGAGACAACAGCTGTGACAATCTTCCTTTTCCCTTTCTAACTCGGGTAGTGGTTCAAACATCACCTTCCCGGCCCTCTTTCTAATATTGCTATTACAGGCCTACATCAGAAAACTGTAGAAACAGTTCCATTGGGAGCTCTTGATGGTCTGTTTTGCCTGAAAATGATGAATGGATGGGTCTAGGTGGCATCGAGGTCTTTGAGCAGAAACAGCTCTTAGGGAATGTGAGCCTGGTAGCCCCTCAACACCCCGAGTTACAAACCTGATTTGGGTAGGTGGCGCAAAGAAACCTAAAACCCAGATTCACGGTCTTCCTCTTCAGTTTGCACGTGGGAATCCGTGGCAGACAAGAGGCCAGGCACAACTGCCAATCCGGCTGCAAACTCTCGGGCAGAAACTGCCTTTTATCGGTCTGTCGACGGCAAATCTGTCCTAATGTAAATCGATTTCCCCGAGGTTGCCTTCGCCTGGCCGGAGGGGCGTTTCCGGGCCCGGGAGTTTGGTAAATAAGGATGCTCAAGTGCCTGCCCTTGGAAAGGCGCTCGCTGGTGGCGCGCACTCTCGTGCCCCAGCCTGAGCCTGGTTGGCAGCGACTACTGCTTTGGCTTTTCCGACTGAAGAACGAGAGGGTCCAGACGGCTGGAGGCTCCTCCCCCAGGGATGCTGGAGGGGCTACGTGGTTGCCTGCGCCTGGCCC